AAGTCCCTCTCCACCTCCATTTCTACCCTGGAGGCACTGTTCTAATGCCTGCCATCGACACAGAGTCTTTGGGTACAAAACCAATGACTTTAACCATGAAGGCAGGTAGATCTTTCAGTAGGAAAGATCACTAATGCACTGGGATTTGAGTCAGGTCTAGTTTCAGACCAGGGATTAGTTATGGTCCATATTCCAGAGAGCCTGAGAAGGATCCAACCATTCCAGAACTGGCATCAAGGGAGCTTTCACTTCTAAGAGAGTAGAAAAGAGATCTGCTTATTTCTGAAAGGGACTCTCTGGGTTGCCTTTGGACTCAAAGCTGAGAACTTTAGCTTTATATTTCTATAAAAAGCTTTCTGAAGAAAAGAACGAAAATAAAAAGATCAGTGGGGAGGTCGCTGCCATGTGGCAAAATCATTACTGGTGCCTGGACCATTGCCTGGGGCCTGGGCCAAGTAGGGCCCCCTACTCAACCTTTTGGCCTAGAGCACATCACCTGACTTCTCAATTTTACCATCTCCCACATGGAGGTAATACTTTCAGGCACTTACTAAAGTTAAAATCTCTACACACACATTATTACTTCAGAACCAGGCAAAGCTGGTTTGATCACGTCTTCCTGTGCAACTTGAAAAAAGTACAGAAGAGAGTTGCTAAGATGACTTGAGATTTCTAAAATATCTCTTCTGAAAGGTTAAGGGATTTGATTGATTCAGCTTGACCTTAATAACAGTGTTCAAATATATGAAAAGCTTTTTACTCATGGGCCAAGGAGAGTATGGGGACCACATGTTTTCAGCCCGCACTGAGCAAAGATGGGACAAACCCAGGCTCTGACAAGGAGAAGTCTCTGACAGTAAGGGCCACAGGACACAAAAGTGTGGCTCAGAGATGCCACAGAATGTCTTTCTGGGAATTACTTCCTTCAGGGAATGGTGAGGAATAAAGAGAGAAGATGATGGGGAAAACTGTGGCAAGGTCTGAACTCTGCAGAGAGCAATCTCCTAGCCCCTGCCAGATATATTATTCTATCAGTTGCCTCTTTGTTTCCTTCCTCTGCTCTTGGCCCTTGTGAACATGCCACACCCCAAAGTCAGAAGGCTGCCCTAGAACTATTTCCCGGAACACCCTGACTGCTGCTCCTTCATGGGCACTGGGTAGAGCTATGCCCACCTCCTGCCCTCAGGTCTAGAGCTTCAGTTTATTTGTTGAGCATCTCTCATATGCAAGGGCCCTGTACCAAGGCACTGTACTCATAACAATCCTATCATCGCACCTGTCGTAGGTACTATCATCCCCATTTTGTGGGTGAGAAATCTGAAACTCTAAGCCAGTAAGCACTAGGGCCAGGATTTCAATCCAGGTCTGATGGGTTCCCAAGGCTATGCTCTTCTCCTCCATCTGTTTGGTCCCAGAGAGGAGACTGACCACTTTCTGCAGCATATATCTGCAAAAAAGGGTGGGGGGTGCATCCTGCTCCTCATCTTCTGCTTCCACAATATGCAATATCTCCAGAACTCGATTTAACTACATTATTTGTGATGTATGTGTTGCAAAAATCATTCAAATCCTTTTGTATCCCCACATTTCATTGGAGAAATAGGAGCTCCAAACATACCAATGAGGCCTGCTACTTGTTATTAATCTTTCTATTGGTTTAGACTCTGAAGGACTCTCTGAGATGAGTATAACACCAGAATGGAAGGCAGGGAAAGAGGAGCCTATAAGTCCCCAGGTGAAGCTCTGACCATCTCTCATCTGGAAGTCTGCGAATAATGTTGCCTTGCCATATTATTATAAAGAATATGAAATAATATGTAAATTGTGTGATATCAAAGGAAGAAATACTAACGAATGTGCACAGCAGGAAGCAATCATTTGCACACTTGAGAATTACATTGCCATGTATGCTCCTGTTACCAGGGCTAATTATGCCTTGATTTAAGTATCTGGTGAGCCTAGAGTGCCATGCTTACTGGAAACCCCTGTGATTATTACTCAGGATATTAGTAAAACACTAAGCAGTACCTGAGACTGGAGCCTCACATAAGAGCATTCTGAGAAGGTTTGCAACTTGCAATAATGTAGGTAAAGTGCCTAGCACCATATCTGTCAAAAAGAATCCATTTCTTACAACTCCTACTTGCTGTGGATATTAGCCACTGTTAGCTGTGAGCTCTGACAGATGTCTATTCAAATTGTACCAAAGGATAAAAATCACATGACCAGAAATGACCTTAACTGTTATCCTTAAATCTGGGGTTAGGTTGCCTGGTTTAGCTGAAGCACACATCGGTCAAATCCTATTAGGTAAACTGCACAGGACATGCAAGCAGTGGAATTTTATTAGACAGTTAGAATCACATTAGCTCCAGCTCTAGCAGACGTAAATGCCCAGGCTTCCTAACAGTATGTTGGCAAGAAAAAGAATCCTTTGGCACATCCGAGAAGAAGGGGGTGTATTCACACCATCTCACCCCCACACCTTTCTCTAAGCTCTGTGGAATTTGCATGTGTTGTAAAGTGTGTGCAATTCCTATGAATATATCTTTTCCCATTGATGGGGCTGGAGCATTTGAGATGGGGGAGCCGAAGGGATGTTTGATGGCAGAATAATGGAGTAGTGGAACTTCAGCTGTGCTTCATTTCAACTGTCTTTTCCCCTTTCACAGAATACAGAGTTAGGTATTTTCCCTAAAGAAAGGGACTTACACAAGAATCTGTAAATGTACACAGTCTGCAAATCCAAGAGGGTAGCTGTGACAACCATGCTTCGCCCCAGACCCATCTCATGCGGTCCAAGTAATAAATGCTGTGGTTTCTCATCCTCTAGGGCCTCCCCTCACCCTCCCAACCCTTCCAAAACCAAACCGCCCCCAGACTAGAGTTCCAGCAACAGGATCGGCAGAGCAGATGTGCATGACACAAAGAGCAAGATCAGCTTCCGAGCAGGGATGACTGAAAGTCCTACCCACCATCTGAAGAAAGGATCCCAAGTCCAGGAAAAGCAAGAAAAAAAGAGTAGAAAAATTTCTTCTTTTCTTCAGAGCAACACATGCTAGCACTTTACAGATTCTGGCATGTGTCAGCGTTGCTGAAGTAAACTCTGTTTTCTTTAGATGAAAGAGATAAAAAAAAAAAAAAGACTCAGAATTTATCCCAATGAAAATTACTTTGGCTATTCACATGCAATAAGCTGTAGAAGCAAGAAGAAAAAAATCAATTGCTTCTGATTTATTTATTCATTCATTTGTCCATCTCCTTTCCCTCTAACGTAAAAAAGGATGTCTTCTATAATTTTGCAACCAGTTTATTTTTTCAAAGAAAAAGAAAATAGTCCAAGCCTAGGTTGCCCAGCATCTCAGCACAGGAAATACATATTTAATTAATTATCATAGATTATGATAATTAATTCCTTGCACACAGATTATGCAAGGAAAAAGGGGGTTTGATTTTGCCCATCAATCGCTTGGCCAGAGTCTATAACTGGACTGAAGTCTGGTGACTTCAGATCACTGGCTGTGTTGAAAGCAACTGCAAGGCTTCACCTCACTGGTCACTTTATTACTTAATCCGGGTGGTGAGTATTAAGTATACTGGTACTCATTTTATTTTTCTTCAAGTCCTTTGGTAGGTCTTGAATATTTCATACTAAATATTGTTACATCCTCAAATCTTCTACAACGGATTCTATTCTGGGCTGTGCAGAGCTGAGAGCAGAGAAGGGAAGTTGGAAATGCCAAAATGTAATTGCAATAAAGAGCAGAAAATGTAAGCATCCAATTCTGGAAGGATGTTTAAAGTTTTAAACCTATGCCAAATAATTGAGAGCTATGAAAAGAGGGCTGAATTCTATTATAATCCCCACATACACACAATTATTGAATTATTCTGAACACCTGTTGAGACTGGGGGACACATGAACTGAATGGAAACCACCAGGCACCACTGTCCAGAGCATCCCTTGACCTGTTCTTTTGACTTTGCTCATATAAACTCTCCTCTCACCCTGAACCTTAGCTAAACATTGAGTATGGGGTTGTGACTTTCTGCTTATGATTCCAGGCCCAGGTTTCTCAGGCAGGACAACTGAGGGAGTTGAATGTCCATCTTTCCTTTGGAACACTGCCCCCAAACACCATTTTTTCCTCACTGCCAAGAGGAGCTACCGGTGGTATGGCAATCTCTCTGCCATGTCATGAAAGCCAGTGGTCTGTCCCCCTGGCCCCAGAGAGAGGAGGAGGAGAGGAAGGACGGTCCCAATAACTAAATTTCAGTCCTAATCCCCAGCCTTCCTTACAGCTTAAGCTGCTGCCATCTCCTTCCTTGTTCCCGTTTGAACAAGGTTTTATTTTCTAGCCTTTTTTCCTACCCTGACTGCTCAGTCCTCACCGCCTAGAAAACCCTTAAAAGGTATTAAGCGTATTAAGTGAGCAAAGAAAGGATCGAAAGATGAGGGTGTGAGAGGAAGAGAAAATCTATACGCTGTCTAATCAGCCAGTGGGCAGCAGATGTTCCCTCGCCCCATTACTTGTCTTTAAGAGCAGAGCTTTTGCCTGCGTAAAGAGCTGATAAAAGAAGTAGCACTTCTGTAAAAGCTCTCAAGAAGTAAGATTCTCAAGTTTGGCACCTTATTTGTTTCATTTTTGAATACCGTTAGACCAACTGGTTTTACTTCCTTCCCGCTGCACACACACAAGCCCCACAGGAGCCTCCCGGGAGAGGCTGCCACCCCCCCCCCCCCCAGGCACGCAGCAAAAACGCCTGCTTGATTGGCCTCACTTGGTAAGTCAAAAAGCTTCCCTCTGCTTCCCCAAAGTTAACAGATGGCTGGTCCCTTTTGGTACACAGGCGTAAGCATCTTCAAAATAACCTTTTCAAGTATGCCAATTAATTAAATGTCACTTTAATATGTCCCAGCCAAGGAGGGAAAGGAGAGACCCAGAAGGCAAAGGGTCAATGGAAGGGAACAAGAACAAGAGGTCACACTCTCCTCCTACCTTCACCAGATGACCCCGAGAGATCGATGATCACATACACTTTTCCTTCTGGCTCCAGATCAATCTGCAATTAAGAAAATGACAGTGACTCTGTTAGTGCATCGTGTGGGCAACCTGAGAGGTCCACCACATTTCCACCCCAAACGTAATTCATCAATCTACAAGGTGTCGAATGCTAGGTGAATTAGGACTGAAAGAGAATCGGCATTGACTGGATGTCTACCGTGTTCCGGGTGCAGTCCTGGGAGGTCGGATGCAACCCAATGCATAACGTCATCCTCTGGTTCTCAACCAGGAGTGAGATTTTGCTCCTCGGGGAACACTTCACAAATGTCTGGAGACTTTTTTTTTCTTTTTTTTTTTTGAGACAGAGTCTCGCTCTGTTGCCTGGGCTAGAGTGCTGTGGTGTCAGCCTAGCTCACAGCAACCTCAAACTCCTGGGCTCAAGCAATCCTTCTGCCTCAACCTCCTAAGTAGCTGGGACTACAGGCATGCGCCACCATGCCAGGCTAATTTTTTCTATATATTTTTAGTTGTCCAATTAATTTCTTTCTATTTTTTTAGTAGAGAGAGAGTCTCGCTCTTGCTCAGGCTGGTTTTGAACTCCTGACCTTGAGCAATCCGCCTGCCTTGGCCTCCCAGAGTGCTAGGATTACAGGCGTGAGCCACTGTGCCCAGCCTGAAGACATTTTTTAATTGTCATGACTGGCGAGAGAGTGCTGCTACTGGCATCCAGTGGGTAGAGGCCAGGGAGGCCACTAAACATCGTACAGTGCAGAGGACAGCCCCCCACAGCAAAGAGTCATCCAGCCCCAAACATCAGTCATGTTGAGGCTGGGAAACCCTGCATTACCCCGTCTTATACATAGGGAAGCTGTGCGCAAAGTTCCAAGGTAAGTAGCAATGCTGAGATCCCATGCCAAGACTGTCTAAAGAAACCCATATTCTTTATACTATACAAACTGCTCCCCAGGGAACTAAGAGAAGCACAAGACACTAACTAATCCTGTTCTCGTGGTATTTACAATCTCATTGGGGAGTTGAAAACAGAAAACAATGCTGAACTCAGCTTAATGATGAAGGACAGAGAACAAATAAAGTATGATAAAGTATCTGATGAGCCTGAAATCAGTATAGAAGAGCTATCTGGGAAGTCTTCATGGAGGCAAGAAAGGAAAGGCGTGCAAGGTGGAGGAGACAACATAGCACGGTACAGAATGTGCAAGGCACTCACGTGAGATGGCTCAGGTCATGTTGACTGCACATGTGTTCTGCAAAGCCCATGTTCTACCAGGGTTGTGAAGAGAGAGTCCACACTGCTAACTGCTTACCTCTGACCACCTCCACCCACCCGAACCTCCTCCCTTCCCATCCCAAATCCAGCTGACTACGTATAATATACAAAACCAGCCTGGTGCAATCACATGGAGGGAGAAAAGCCAGAGGGCCGGGCCTCTGGTAGCTACAGCCATCTTTGCAAGGTCTGAACTATCCTTACAAAACCGTGTTCTCCACAGGAGAGAGTAGTAACTCCGGAAGCCCTGGATCACCACGTACCCCCGCTAGCCTCTCCCGCCTCCACAATCCCATCTGTCTGCACAGAGCTTTCACTGGCTCACGAGTGCCAGCCTCTGTCCCCAGCAAGCTGTGAATTTCTTGAGGGCAGGAACCGCTATCCCCTCCCTTTCTTTTTCTGCTGTCCCCAGCAAAGAGCAGGCACACATTTAGCAAGGAGGAGTCAATCTGGTAGATACCATCTCCTCCTCCTTCAAGGTCAAGGTGAATTATCACCTCCTCTCTGAAGCCTTTCCAGATAGGCCAGGTCAGAATTAATTACCCCTCCTCCCTGTTCCCACAGTACACCAGACACACCTTACTTGTGACTCCCATTAAACTGTGATATGTTGTCCCTGTATCTGTCTCCCCTGCTAGACAGAAAGTACGACAACCATATTAGCATTTGATCTTCAGCTCACTGTCTCTTAGGAAACACCCAGTATACATATTGTGGAGGTGGGAGCAGGCTCTATGTTCAGAACGTCCGCAGTCTATGCTGGGATCATTCACTGCCCCGCCACCAGCCCCCTGCCACAAAGCCTCTGTCCCCCGGAAGGAAGCAGGCACGTGATCTACACTAAAAGGACATTTGCTAAAAGGACATTTGCACAAGGGAGAAGGGAAGCCGAGGAGGCTATACCATGAGCCCCACACACTCCCGTGAGGCAAAGAAACCCAGCCTGCACGGATGCTCCCCAGGCCACTCGACGTGTCACTCCACACACAACCAGGTCCCCACAGCCGCTCTTTATTTCCTGCCTCAGCCTCCAATGTGTGGGAGCACTTAAGGTTTCCCTCAAACTTTCATTTTCATCAATGAGGGTCTCCAATGCCTCGTAGGTGAGGCCACGGGTGACAGCGCAGGGGCTCTGTCGGGACAGGGAGTGAGCACGTCTGCACTGCCCCTCAGGTGCCCCCAGGGGCACTCACCTGAGTTTGGGATCCTGAGTTTAGGATCGTGATGGGAACCAAGTAACAAACTGATAATTCCGGGAGATGAATTTTCTCATCCCTCCCACACCAAGAGCCCTTGATTCTAAGTTTCTGGGGAGAGAAAATGTTGTCCAGAGCTCTCAGCACTAGCATTGGCCCTCACCACGAGTATGACCCAGCCGTACCCTCGATACAAACAGGAACACCAACAGCCAGCTCTTCTGAATAGAGCCAAACCAGAATCTTGTCCCTACCAAAGTTCAAAAATATCAGGGGCCTTCTTGCCCAAAAGCATGGAATTTAAATAATGTATGCCTTTTAGAGATTAGATCATCCCTATTAAACCCTGCTGGCAAAATGAAACACTTTCTCATATCCTCCAAGTCAAAGATTTCCCACGACTGCGATCTCTATTGCCAAAGTACAATGCTATCTGTAAAGCTGCGAGGGAGACGGCCAAGGAATGAGACGTCTCCGGGGGCGTCCACAGGCAGGCAGCATGCCTATCTTTGCAGAAGGGGAGTGAGAACTCGTGGCAGGGAGGACAGGTCATTGACGATAAAATGTATTCGGATATTAACATTCAAGATAGCAATCAGATACCATTTTAGCACCCACTGCAGCCTCCATGCTGGCGAACTGCATTCCCAAACAGAAAAATAGGAATTAAGCTATTAAACATGCCAAAAGCAACAAAGAGCTATGCAGCCTGCACAGATGGCCGCAGAGCACTGGCCCAGCCCCCAGCCAGCCCAGTGAGGAGGCTCTGAGATTCCATCTAGGGTGGTGGGACTTCAATGCCCATGACTGGAGGGGTCACCAGAGTATAAAAAGTGGAGAAAGTGATGCAGCTTCATGGCCAAATTGGTGTAATCACAAATTTTGCTCACGATGACACGGTCTGGATAACGAAACAAGGTAGGCAGATGCCCAGCCCTGTGCAAGCCTGCAAGCTGTCAGTCGGCATCAGGACCAGGCGGCCGCAGGACACAAACACAGGCCTGCTACCTCCGCCACCCATTCTCCGAGTTTGCTCTGAAGCCCTTCTCCTGCGTGCCAGCTGCCTCCCAGTTCTTCCTATGTATCAAATCTCCTTGGACCTCGTATCTTTACTTGACGCATCTTCCCAGCTACTATCTCTGTTTTCTTTGACTCTGATTCTCTTTCATGCTACAGTGCCTTTGGCTACCCCTCTAGCTGGGGCCAAGGGCCAGGAGGTGGAACAGTGGGGGAGATAAACACACCCTTTGGCATCAGACCAAGGCTGAATCTCGGTTTTGTCCCTTAGTATCCGAGTAACCTCAGGCAATTATTTATTCTCCCTGAGCCTCAACCTCTTCATCTGTGAAATGGGTTATCATGAAATTCCATGAGACATGCACACGCTCTTGGCATTCCCGAAATCCCCAGTGTGTGGTGGGTCAAAGAGAACTTGCTGGCTGTGTGTCCCGAAGCAAGCAACGGCCCTCTCTAAACCTCAGAGTGCTTGCCAGCGAAAAGGGGCCAATAACAGGCCCAGTGTCCTTTGGGCTGTTGTGAGGCTGAATGAGATACTCCATGCAAAGCGCTTAGCATGGCACCTGGCCCAATGTTCTTTCTACTATAACAAACTTTCCCCCAACAAAAAAAGTATCTTCTTGCCCAAAGTTGATATTATTACATGTTATTCAAGGATATCTTGTGACTTTGCAGTGTTCTTGTGAATATCAAATAAAGAAGTAAGGTGAGATTATTGTACCCAGCCTCACAGAAAGCCAGGGGCAGGGGAGGCCATACCCCGGACCTCAGAAGGTCCTGAGGTGCTCATGAGGGAAGGGCAAGCGCCAGGTGATCACGTATTTTCTGAGCCCCTACTGTGCCTCAGACACCGTGTTGGCCGCTTTACCCGCATTAGTTCCTAAGTCTCCTGTGGGACTGCAATATTCCCCACTTTCCAGGTGACAAAACTGGCGCTCTGACGCTTTCAGCCAGGAGTCCCACCCAGGTCTGCCTGGGGCACACGGGAGGGGTTGACAGAGCTCCCAAGTCAAACTCACCATCCCCAGCCCCGCCCAGCCCACGGGGGCTTCTTTGATGACCTGGGCACCTTCTCCGTCCTCCAGCCCACCTGTCTCCGTTGGGTCACACTCCTGTGCAGGTGTAACCGGCTTCCCCGGCCCAATCTTTAGACACAGCAGTGTTTCACATGCCTGGACCACCCCAAGGGCCCTGGGGGAAGATCTGGGCAGAAACAAGAGCCCCACTCATGTGAATTGGGAACAAAGTATGGGGAAAAGCCAACACTATAGGAACCCCCAAAATGACAATCTTTGAAAAGCAAAAATATAGGGACTTTTTTGGGGTGGTGCTCGACCATTTATTTATATTTTTTTATAATTTTTATTTAAAATTATTCCATTCTTCTTTTTCTTTTTTTATACTGTCTGACCTTTCAGTGTACATCGACCATTTAAGTACAAAGCCCTTCATATATGTTATTTCATTTATGCCTCATGATTAATCTACAAGGTGACAAGTGTCATTAGTGCCATTTTATGTCTGAAACAGCTGGGGTTAAGGAAGATAAGTGACCAG